TTTGGGATTTGGGGGATTTTGGGGGTTTTTGGGATTTGGGGATTTTGGGGGGTTTTTGAGATTTTGGGGGTTTTGGGGGTTTTTTGGGATTTGGGGCGTTTTTGGGATTTGGGGATTTTGGGGATTTGGGGATTTTGGGGGGTTTTTGGGATTTGGGGATTTTGGGGGGTTTTTGGGATTTGGGGGGGTCCCAGGGGTCACCCAGCCCACCCCGGTGCTCACCTGGGGGTCGAAGGTGGCGAAGAAGAGGAGGGAGGGGTGGAAGCGCTGGGCGGTGGCGGAGAAGGCCTGGAAGGCTGGGGGGGAATGGGGTGGGAACTGGGGATTTGGGATTGGGAACTGGGAATTTGGGATTGGGAACTGGGGACTGGGGATTTGGGATTGGGAACTGGGGATTTGGGATTGGGAACTGGGAATTTGGGATTGGGAACTGGGGATTTGGGATTGGGAACTGGGAATTTGGGATTGGGAACTGGGGATTGGGAACTGGGGATTGGGAACTGGGAATTGGGGATTGGGGACTGGGAACTGTCACACAGGTGACACACAGGTGACACAGGTGACATTCAGGTGACAGGTGACATTCAGGTGACACAGGTGACGCAGGTTGCACAGGTGACATTCAGGTGACACTCAGGTGACATTCAGGTGACACACAGGTGACACACAGGTGACACACAGGTGACACAGGTGAGACACAGGTGACACTCAGGTGACACAGGTGACACAAGTGACACAGGTGACACTCAGGTGACATTCAGGTGACACACAGGTGACACACAGGTGACACAGGTGAGACACAGGTGACACTCAGGTGACACAGGTGACACAGGTGACACAGGTGACACAGGTGACACTCAGGTGACACAGGGGGTGTCCCCACGCACGCTCCGAGTCCCGTCCCTCGAAGTACCCGATGACTTTGGGCTCCTCCTCGATGTCCCCAAAGGCCCGGAGCTCCTGCCCGGCTGCCACCACCTGCACGGGGGTCCCCAGAGCCTGGGGGTGTCCCGGGGCTCAGGGGGGCTCTGGGGGTGTCCCCGGGCTCAGGGGGGCTCTGGGGGTGTCCCCGGGGTCAGGGGGTGTCCCGTAGGTCAGGGGGGCTCTGGG